TGTCTGTCCCTGTGTGTTGGCCCTGCGACAGACTGGCGACCTGTCCAGGGTGTGCCCCGCCTCTCGCCCTATGACAGCTGGGATAGGCTCCAGCGAATGGATGAATGGATGCCACAAAATCATAGCTTGTGTTGGCACAGTGCACATTCAGGCTCCTCCTACATATGTAGATAACATGTCACTGACATGCAGCGACCATAACACAGCAGAAGACTGACCTGTTATTGAAGTTGGTGCAGTAAGTGAGGTCCTTGCAGCCCAGCTGGCAGGGCTCTCTGACGTCAGCCAGGCAGTTGATGAGCTCTGTCTCCACTGGGTTGTACTCACAGAGCTGGTCAAAGTCCTGCCATGTCTGGCTGCCCCAGTTAGAGCTGATCTCCAGACACATGTCCCTGGAGCACATTTATAATCAACCTTAGTTCACCTCTGCTCGCTGTGAACGACACCCAAACACCGTCTTTCACTGATGTCAAGAACTAAAAGTGGCATACCTGCAGAGGGAGGTGTTGGCTTTGGAGCAGCAGTGCAGCTTGGCACAGTCCATCTTGGCAGGAAGGTTATCCTCTTCAGTGATGGAAGGAGTCTGGACACTGCTCAGAAAGCACTGCCACATGGGCTCCTGAGGGAGCGGCTGGGAGCCGCACTCTTTGATCAAACCCTCCATAATCTCGTGCTCTGTGCTCATAGTGCGAAGGATTTGTCGGCAAGCCATCTGGCAGTGGGTAGCTGCCCTGTCGCAGCAGTACAGACCTGCATGTGAGAGACGTTACTGAGTTTATACATCGCCCAGTGAAATTCCCACGCTCACTACATCAGTCACGAAACCGCACACACAGAGTTTCCACAGATATTTGTGTGTCTGTTTAATGAAGTGAAACACTGAACATATACAGTCAAATGTGCAGGATGTCACTCTGTGTGTGAGGTTTATAGAAGATGTTTAGTGCAGACGTCCCACAGTGGGTTGGTTAATGTTAACTAACTAGTGACAGAACCACAGAACCACCAGGCCTGGCTGCAGCACTGAGCTACACAGCAGGGCTGCGTGGGGTAAACACATGCATGTGCTCGGTGTTCAGGACGGTCACGTGGTGCAACCAAAGGTTTATTCAACAAACCTTCAAGCAACGTACGTAGACCTGAGATATAGAGTCCGCTTGGGGAGTGTGATTGTGTGTCCAGTGTCTGTTTATGTCTCCACGTTAGGTGAGTGCTGAGTAATTGCATATGCAAAGCACACTGTGCGCTGTCGCTTCTACAAGCTGCACAATAATATTCATTATTTAGTATTTACTGTTATATTCACATAGATCATCATGATGTTGTTTATTATATTGCTCTCTTTTTTTGCTTGTTTTCTCTCTTTCTTTCTCAACAGGTGATCCAGGTGATTCATAGATGTATTTTTTGTCTGTTTGTTTTGTTGTTTTTGCCCTTTATCCCCGTCCCTCTTCCCCGCTGTTTTTCTTTCCCTCTTTCTTTTCCCCAGTCATGTCTGTCCCGTGTGTAGAAAGTGAAAATAAAATAAAGTAAACAATAAAAGGTGAATCTAATGGACCAATACAGCAAGGCTGGGATGGTCCATTTGGTAAAATAAATCTGTTGAGCATCTTCGTCTTCAGACAATCATTCTGATGGCAAAGAGCCAAACAGGACAGGAGGGGAAAAAAACCTTTCATCTGAGTTTTTAAAGTTATGGATGAAGATCATTTTTGCCAACTTGCCGACTCTTCAGCATGAATTAATAACTGCTTTTACCCTCGGACATTATTACAAACAAATGTTTGTGTATTACCTCTGTGGAGTGAATGGTAGCTCAGTCAGTGGTAAACATGAATGAGCTGT